AACTCAGGTACTCATGTTTGCGTAGCAAGCACTTTTCCAACCAGTCTCCCCAGCACTGGAATTTTTTTTTACATGTGTACATAGGAGTACATATTTGTGCAGGTACATGTGTAAATGTGTACACATGGATTTGGAGGCCTGAGGTTGATGCTGGGTGTTTTCCTTGCTTGCCCTCCGCCTTATATATTGGAGCAGGGTCTTTCATTGGACCTGGAGCATGCTATTCCAAGCTCCTCACACTTGTGTGGCAAGCACTTTACCTATTGAACCATCTCCTCAGGACTATAGATTGTGTGTGTGGAGGGGGTAGTGGTGAGGCTAAAACCCCAGGCCTTGAGCATGCTAAGCATCTACCACTGAGCTACCTTTCCAGCCCAACAGATCATCATCTAGTTCCAAGCTACATGCTTTCTTTAAGACAAAATTTTATTATTTTTATTTTATTTTATGTGTATGAGTGTATTACCTGCATGTATGTAAGTGTGCCCACAGAGGTCAGGAGAGAGTGTCAAATTCCCCTGGAACTGGAGTTAAGGACAATTGTTAGGTGTCATATGGGTGCTGGGAATCAAACCCAGGGTCCTCTACAAGAGCAGCTAGTGTTCTTAACTGCTGAGACATCTCGCCAGCCCTGCTACTTGCCTTCTTGTTTTTAGCAGGTTTTTGTTTTGTTTTGTTTGTCTTTTTTAAGACAGGGTCTCCCTGTAGCCCCAGCTGGCCTGGAACTCACTTTGTAGACCAGGCTGGCCTTGAACTCACAGAGATCGCTTGTCTCTGTTTTTAGCAGTTTTATTGGGACATAACTCACATAGAGTTGATATGTACTATCATAAAGAGTCCAGTTGGTGGTTTCCAGTCATTCAGTTGTGTGGCCATTACCATTATGTCATTCTAGCTAGAACTTGTGTTGTTCTATGATACTATAATGTCTGTTGTAACAGACATCCTTTCCCATGTCTCAGACCTTTTAAAAAAATTGACTTAACAAGTAATAAGTTATTTATAGAAAAGTTACAGAATACAAATAAAGTAAAAAAATTACCTTACTAAGCTGGGTGTGGTGGTACATGTCTTTAAGCCCCAGCACTTGGGAGACAGAGGCAGGTGGATCTCTGTGAGTTCAAGGCCAGCCTGGTCTGTATGGTGAGCTCCAGGTCAGCTGAGGCTACAGGGAATCCCTGTCTCAAAAAGACCAAAAAAAAAAAAAAAAAAATTACCTTATTAGCTCTTACTTCAGAAACTTCACTTTGTAGCATTGGTTCCTCTGAAGTTAGGAAAATCTAAAACTACCCTAAGCTTTTGGAACCTTCAGCATAGGGTCCATTGGATACAAGATACTATGGAAAGGAATACAAGCAGAGACAGGATATGCTCAGCAGGCAGGTAGGTGATAAAGGCCACAGATTTAAAGGAGAGGGTCAGAGGAGGCCTTTCCTGGAAGGAACATGAGGTAGAAAGAAGGTGAAGGCAGATCATGTGCGAAAGAACTTTGTAAGCAAAGGGAACAGTAGGTATAGAGATCCTGAGGGACAGTGGGGTTGATGAAAGTCTGTTTTATATGGGGCCATGCATGTATGTTGTAGAGAAGAGTGTGGAACTTACCCCATTGTGATTAGGAACCATTGAAGGTTCTAGGGTGTCAGAAAGACTTTGCAGCTGAGTGGGAGTGTGGAACCTGTGAATCAGGAGACACTGGTAGTCTTGATCAGGGTGGTCACCACAGAAATACATTAGGAGCCCCAAGGAGAAGGACAAGGTCACCCAGGTTATATGTGGGAAGCCATATTTATCTTTCAGGTAATGGTGACTTCAGAATTTAGCAGCTAACAAGGGCTGTTGTGTTTCCTGGGCTTGGAAGTCTGCGTGCCTCCTGGAAGTGATTCTGCTCAGGATCTCTTGCAGGCTGCCGTGGAGCTAAGGTTTGACTTGTGCACATCCTGCAAGTTAATGTGGGTCATTGGTAGGATTTTCCATGCTTCCCACAGGACCTCTCCATGGCCTGCCTGAGTGGGCTCACAGCGTAGCATCTGCCTCGTCTTGGAAGTCACACTCCACCGCTTCCATGGTATCTCCTGGTTATGTACTTAGCCCTTTCTGTTCCCTCTGAGGACCTATTGGAAACATCACTATTGGAGTTGTGACCCCTTGGGGCTGTCTTAGAGGCTGGCTATACCATTTTGGGGGGACTGTGGCTCCACAATGTGTTTATGCCTTGAAAGTTCCCTAGAGGAGGTTGGGGCAGGAGGCTTCCTAGCTAGGCACTTGTCTCCTGCCTGTGCTGATTGTGTCTTCTCTTAAGCCTTCCTTGCCCCCACCCTTGCTGTAGAGTATGTCACAGATGGTGGGTACCCAGTCACTCCAGGAGTACCTAGGTATGATGTCAGTAGCTTCCTTGCATCAGTGCCTGTCAGCTTTTTCACTGCCCAGCTGGTGTAGTGCCAGCCTATCAGAGGGCTCTTAGTACAGGGGAGTTTCCCAGCAAGCCATGCATTTGATGTACTGTACATGTGATGGCAGGCCAGGTTGGGCACTGCAACTGCTTGTCAAGGCCCCACTTCTCTGCCCTGTGGCTCCAGCTCACTGTTAGTTGGGCTAGGGGCCAGCTGAGGTTGAAATCAAGGCCCAGAGATGGCCAGAAACCACCTGTGTCCTAAGGCCCTCTCCCCGCAGATATTCATATGTACCAGTACTTTCATAGCAGCAGGGCGGCATATGGCTCCCAGGTGAGTTGGGAAGGTGCCTTGTACTTGTCTTTGGTGCAGTCGTTTTCTTTATTGACTAAAAACCACCACTATGGTACATATTCCTGAAAAGACCTACTGCAGAGCAGAAAACCAGGACTGTGGTCTCTCTCTTGGACTCCACATGGCTTTCTTTGGCAGTCTTTTGGACATGCCCTTCCAGATCATTCTGTGTGTTCTCACAACTTGTGTTGAGTGTGTCTTCAAACAGAATATACTCAACCTGCTCTTCTGACTTTACTAGCACATGCCATTCCATATATGTGTAAGTTCTGTTCCATGTCACTCTGGGCAAGTCTATTCTTCTCCACATGGTGTAGGCAAATCTGTTTTATTCTCCATGCTGATGTGCGCAAGTCTGTTTTCTTCTGCTCCGTGCCAGTATGCCCAAATCTGTTTTATTCTGCCCCATGCCTGTGTGTGCAGGTTGCTTTTATGGAGCATTGTGTATCATCTTATTAAAATCCAGGTGTTATGTTTTTAACTAGTTGCCAAGTGTTCTGTTGTTGATTTTTAAAAAATTTTTTTGATAGGGTCTCCCTAGTCACAGCCCACCTGCTTTCACAATGTGAACCAGGCAGGGTGGCCTTGATCTTGCAGAGATCTACCTGCCTCTGCCTCCTAAGGGCTGGGATTAAAGGTGTATGCCACAACACCTGGCATGCCACGTGTTCTTTTGTCTGGGTGCCGTTGGATATCTGGTGCACATTGTGGGCTAACAGAGTTGAGGGTAGACCCTGATTGCTGTTCCTGAAGTCAAGGACAGCTGATCCAACCTCCTGGATCTGGGCTTCCACCTTGGGAAGAGGTGCCTGGTCTTATCTCCTGGGCCCTGCATTTTTTTGGGGGGGGGGGTTGGGGGGGGGGGTCAGGGTCTCACTGTGTAGCCCTGACTGGCATGGTACTCACTCAAAGGCTAGACTCAAACACTCACAGAGATCTGCCTGCCTTTGCCTACCGAGTGCTGAGGTTAAATGCATTTGCCACAACATCCAGACTGGGCCCTGACTTTTGTGGCCTTTACTGTCCTCACTATAACTGGAGCTGTGATTCTCAAGAACATCACAGATCCATGTGGTGTGGCCATGCCCATGTGTTGAGAGGCCCAGAATTCCCACTTGGGCCTTAAGGACTCTCATGGGCTCAGGTACCTGAGGGACATACAGTCTGAGCAACCCCAACATCCGCAGGCTCATGGTCATCCGGACCTTTCTCCTAGGTCCTCCTAGCTGGGAGCACTCGAGTATAGTTGTCAGGCCTCAGGTTGGAGTGCTTGTGAGAGAAGCCGGCTTCTGGTTTTCTCCAGGGGCCTGTGTGCTCACTTCTTGGTAAAGTTGATGGCTATATGAAACCTTCCATCTTTTTCCGCAGAGGAGAAATGTCAGTTTAGTGTCTGAGTGTTCTTGGGTCCAGATGGAAACCACTTTACAGTTTCAGTGCCCATGAGAAAGAAAGAATTCAAATCCACATCAATTTTTAAACTTAATCAATGGTGAGCTTAAAAGGTTCATAGGACTTGGATTTGGGGGTCGGGTACAGCCAACTTGAGGGCAAGGATTGTGTGAGGCCTTCTTGGGGAGCTGTGACATATGAATACAATGACTTAAAACCACTGAAGTGTGTCCCCTCATGGTTCTGGAGGCCAGAGGTCAGGAGTCAAGATCTCGCAGGGTGAAGGCTATAGGGAAGACCCTTGCTTGCCCCTCTCAGCTTCTGGAGACTCTAATCCTCAGTGCCCTTGGTCCAGTAACTCCTTCCCTTCCAGTCTTTGCCTGTCACCTTCTTCCCTCTTTGTACATCTGTGTCCAAGCCCTCCCTCTTTTTCATAAAGACACCAGTCACTGGATTTAGGGTCATCCTAGTCATGCTGGAACTCGTTTTAACTAATCACACCAGCAAAGATCCTGCTTATTTCTAAACAAGGTAATGTGCATGGTACAGGGTAGAACTTGAACATATTTTTGGTGGTCAGTGACACAGCATAGCCCCCTTCTGAAGGCAGTGACATTTATGTTGAGAACTGGCTGCCATCTGTGAGCAAGGAGTGGGCAGGTTGTAGGGGTCAATGGTATGCAGAGGTTGGTGGGCTGCCCTGGAGGGCAGAGGCTGGACAGCTGGAACACAGAGCCAGAGCAATATGAGCTACTCAGAATGAAGGCATTCTTAGCACCTGGCCTCTTGTCTGTTCCCACTGGGCTGTGCTGAGTGAACATCATGTTGAGAATCCTGCTCCAAGAATGTGTTTCCTTTTTTAAACAGGAAACTACTTTGCTTCACACTTTTTCATGGGAGGCGAGAAATTTGACACCCCTCATCCTGAAGGTTATCTCTTTGGAGAGAACATGGATCTGAACTTCTTGGGCAGTCGCCCAGTCCAGGTGGGTCTCTGCGGGACTGGTTTGTGTGGCTGGGGATGAGTAGTGGGAAGACCCTGTTTCAGCCCTCTCTCTGCCCAGCTGTGAGGATGAGCAAACACTGAGTCACCCTAAGTGGGAAAGAGTACCCAGCAGCTGGGAGTGGGCACATGACTTGGAACGTGTCCTGGTACTCCCTCTAAGAGACAAGATAGTCAGGAGTGGATCACTGAGGGACAGAGTAGCCATTATTAAGCTTGTGCATCCTGGCTACAAGAAGCTAGAGATTTCATTCTAGACCTTTTGTGTAAGCAGAAAGAATCATATTTCTGTGGAATGATGGGCAAGAGACTTGATCCCACAGGGAAAGGTAAATGGCTAGTGGACCTCAGTAGCTGCCAGTGAAACACTCATTTAAGCATGTTTATCCGTTCCTTCAAAATACTTTAAAAAAAAACAGAAACAAAAACATGGTCTCACTATGTAGCTCTGGCTGGCTTGGATTTTGCTATGTAAACCAAACTGGCCTCAAACTCACAAGAGATCCTCCTGTCTCTGCCTCCCCAGTGCTGAGATTATAGAAGTGCACCACCACACCTGGCCTTTGCTTCACATACCTTTGGCAACTACTCTGTGCCTAGGGCTCTTATGGGGCTGAGACCAAAGTCAGGCCCTTTTCCTTTTCCATCGATGATATACACCATAAAAAAAGAAAATACTGTGTGGATGGGCAGTTTAAAAAAAGAGAGACAGAAAAGCAAACAACCAAAAATCAAGAAAGAGACAGAGGGTCCCACTGCAGAGGCCATGGCTTAGCTGAGCTGTGATGGGTAGGGAAGAACCAGAAGGCAGGAATAGAGGGGCTGAGGTGGTCTGTGCCAGGCTACCAGCAGGCAGTGAGAATATAAGGTAGGCAACATTCTCCGGGTAAGTCAGAGGACAGTAGAATAGGTGAAGGGCACATTTTCCCCTGGGTTAGAGCTTGGGTGGCCAGGTGGACCTTTCAGTAAACCCTCAGGGGGTGAGGGAGGCTCCTCCTGGGGCAGGGGAGACATTGGGATGGGTTGTGGAAATGTCTGAGGATGAATCAGATTGGGCCTTGATGGGAAGAAGGAGCCAAGCTTTCCTAGCGGGAGTATTAGAGAGAGTATGGTAGCTCCTGAGTGTGCAAGAGCAAGGAGTCTTAGGAGGCATAGGATTTGCACCAATGGTTGGGGCCAGTGAGGCTAGGCTAGGTCTGGGTATGATGCCTAGGAAGGTCCAGTGGAATGGAACAAAGGCCAGGGAGCAGTGGGGGGTTTTGAAATGATGGACAGGCCAGACAGGAGGCCCTCTCTAAGGAATATTGAGCTCCATCTTCGAATGCCTCTGCATCCTGGGTATCCTTCAGGCCTGTTCAGTGGCCTTTAGACCAGGGGCTTGTAAACAGTCTTAGCCATGGAGCAGCTAGTGGCATGAAATCTTGGTCTGTAGTATGTCTCGTAGGCCAGGGGCTGGGGTGAATATTGTTCTCTCCCACTTGGGAGCCAGCAGGGACCTTTTCTTTGACACATTTGTGCCCTCAACTCCCAGAGCCTGGCCCTCATGGGCCTCCTGTGGATCTTTTGATTTTTTATTTTTATTTTTTTGGTCTTTTTGAGACAGGGTTTTCCTGTAACCCCAGCTGTCCTGGAACTCATTATGTAGACCAGGCTGGTCTTGAACTCACAGAGATCTGCCTGCCTCTGCCTCCCGAGTGCTGGGATTAAAGGTGTGCACCACCATGCCTGGCGGATCTTTTGATTTTTATTTCATATTGAGACTATTACAGATCTACTTGGGTTGGGATAGAGAACATGTACCATCTATGTGTCTTCACCCAGCTTAATATCCCCAGCGGTGATATCCTGTCAAATGCCAGCACAATGTTGCTGGCAGGAAACACATGAATACAGGCAGGTTCCATGTGACCAGCTGTATGTGTACTTGTGTGTGCATGTGTGATCTTCCCAAATATTTATGGTGTGTTAATGTAGACTGACTGCCTTTGTAGGCATGTCCTATCATAGGAGCATGGCCCAAGAACCTAACCATGGCCACTTCGAGGTCCTGTCTAGAGCTGGGGACTGGCTGTGACCAGGTGTAGCCAATCCCAGCCCATGTACGAGCCAAATGCCCAAGGTATCCTTTAGTGTAAATGAGCAGTATGTCCAATTTATTTCAGTCCCTCACATGGGGCCCAGGGCCCAGGAATGCCTGTTCGGGTCTCTCCTGACTTTCATGTCTTGTCCTCTGCTGCTTCTCAGAGAGTCACCTGGGGTCACTTCATGTTTTTCTCGCCTAGTTTCCCTATGTCACCCCTGCCCCCCATGAGCCAGTGAAGACTCTAAGAAGCCTGGTGAACATCCGCAAAGATTCCCTCCGGCTTGTGAGGTAACCCTTTGTGCTACCCTGCTGGGATCCTAGCTATGCTGCTCCTGGGGCCCTGTGTATTACAGAGCTTCTAGTTTGGTGCTTGGAAAGGGGGAGTAGGGTGTTGAGGGCCCAGTCTCTGCTCTGATTTGCAGTCAGAGTCTGTAACAGGAACTTGAGTTTTCAAATGAGGGGATCTCCCACCCCTGGCATTTGTACCTTAGGAGCACAGGGCAGTGTCTGGAGAGTACTGAAGGCTGAAGGCTGGAGACTAGGGAATCTGCTCAGCTTACTACAGTGAATGGAACGCCCACCATCTAGGATGAGCCAACCTGGTTGTCAGCAGCATACAAAGCTGCTTTGAACCCTAAGACTCGAGACTTCTGGGCCTTTCTTAACCAAGAACACTTATCCCTTGTTTCTGTGGGATGGAAGAAAGGGGAACAGACTGGATAATGGGTCTTGTTGTGCCATAGGAAACAGGCTTCCATCTTTGCTAGCAGAGCAGACATGTCTAAGCCTATTCTGGCCCACAGCCATGTGGGCAGGCCAGTTCTTGTAGGCCATGGCTCCTGACCTGCCATCTTCTGTCTACACTTGTTAGATACAAAGATGACACTGACAGCCCCACTGAGGATGGTGAGAAGCCCCGGGTGCTCTACAGTCTGGAATTCACCTTTGATGCTGATGCTCGCGTGGCCATCACCATCTACTGTCAGGCAGTGGAGGAGTTCCTGAACGGCATGGCAATGTGAGTCCCCATGTGTGGATGGCAGCCTGGGCTTGGAGCCTTAAGCAGAGTGTGCATCCTACCACTGAGCCCTCCCCTCTTTTAGACTTGATAGAGGCTTTGCCGTATCCTGTAGGCTTCATTGGTGCCTCACTCTGCAGCCTTTCTGCACATCCTAGAGAAGACATAAAACACAAAGGTCCCTGCTGCTGATTGTGGCTTGATCTTTCTGTTGGCCAGTCCCTTCCAGAATCCTACCTAGAGTTACCTCCTTTGGATAGAGAGACTCCAATCACCCATAAAACTTCGAAGGATTGGGGGATGGAGAGTTGGCTCAGTGGTTAAAAGCATTGGCTACTCTTGCAGAGGACCTAGGTTCAATTCCCAGCACCCACATGGCAGTTAACAACTGTTTGTAACTCCAGTTCCAGGGGATTCCGATACCCACTTCTGACTTCTGCAGCTGTGGCATGACACAGGTGCACATGTGCATGCAGGCAATATACTCATACACTTAAAATAAAAATAATAAATTTTTTTTTGTCTTTTTTGACACGGGGTCTCCCTGTAGCCCCAGCTGTCCTCGAACTCACTATGCAGACCAGGCTGGCTTCGAACTCCCAAAGATCCGCCTGCCTCTGCCTCCCAAGTGCTGGGATTAAAGGCGTGCACTACCACGCCGGACATAAATATTTTTTTTAAATCTCCAAAGATTGGAAGGTCAATGTTGGAACCTATGGCAGAGACTAAATATATGTATTCTATTATGTCACAGTTACATTTTTTTTTGGTCTTTTTGAGACAAGGTTTCCCTGTAGACCCAGCTGGCCTGTAACTCACTCTGTAGACTAGGCTGGCTTCCAACTCACAGAGATCTGCCTGTCTCTGCTTCCTGAGTGCTGGGATTAAAATTGTGCACCACCACGCGCGACCTACAATTACAAATTTGAACCTTCTGAAATTTTTCTTAAAAATAAGTCTTAGCTGGGCTGGCAGCGCACGCCTTTAATTCCAGCACTTGGGAGGCAGAGGCAGGTGGATCTCTGTGAGTTCAAGGCCAGCCTGGTCTACACAGTGAGTTCCAGGACAGCTGGGGCTACAGGGAGACCCTGTCTCAAAAAAAGACAAAAAAAAAAGTCTTGCTAGTCCCAGAAGTTTGCAGCCTGCAGCTCAGCATGACCATGGCATGGCCTGCCTCAGCTGTAAGGCTAGCCTCAGCCTGAGCAGTTGGGAAGAGACATGTCTGAGTCCTTCCTGATTTGGAGAAGACTCTGAGGAGGATCAGGTCTGGGCATGAGGGAATGGGAGTGGGGGCAGAGAAACTCTGGCTTTGAGTGCTGCCCAGTCCTGTGCTTGCTGAGCAGTCCAGGCATTCTTGTGTCTCAGTTTCCTCAGCTGGAAGTGAGGGTTGAGGAGCTCCTCTCTCATGGGTGGTGTTCTTGACTGCCCCTCACACATAAAGGTGACATGATGGATGCTCAAAGCTAGCTGCTAATAAAGAAAACTCAAGAGGTGGGCTTCCCAGGGAATACTCTTATCAGGCAAGGCTCAATGCCAGGGCTTCTCTCTGGGACTCAGAGCCTGACTGCCTCCTGAGGGACAGTGCTCACTGGGAAACTGATGCCTTTTCCATACCTTGCTCTATGAGGTTCTACCATGGCCTGAACACTGGGTTACTTTCTTAGTGACAGACAGCAGCATTTCAGTTAGTGCTGACCATCGGCAGGAAAGTGGAAGGTCCAGGAGTGAGGAATGTTTAGTAACCAGCACAAGCCCTCTCTCTGTACCATATGACCCTTGGGGTGAGCTACTGACTTGCTACAGCCTGAGATGGTATGACCCTTGTGGTGTGGTGCCCTCCAGTGTGGTGACAGTTGGGAGGAGGAGCTCCGATTTCTGAGTTGTCCTTGGACTCAACTGCCACAGTAGAGGAGCCCTGGGTTCTAGGCAGGAGCTGCCCCCAGAGGAAGTAAAGGTCAAGTCCCTGGGCTCCCATCCTAAGCCACCAAGTTGGCCTGTTTTCTGTCTTGTCCTGTGAAATGTATGAGAATAGGTTCTGTTGCCATCCGATGGGCTAGATGGCCAGACAGACATGGCTTCCCTAGAGATGGGGCAGTAGAATTGCCATGCCCCTTCTTGAGACTTGGCATGAGGCCTGTTTCACTTCCCAGTTTGCTGGTTTATATGGTACCATCACCAAATCACCAAGACAGAGAAGCAGGAGGTTCTAGGTCTCAAGAGGCAGTACCTGGAAACCCAAATCCAGTGATCCAGGAACACTCTGTCCTGAGTTGTATGTAGGGCAGGTAGTCCTGCTTCTTCCCTCACACTTTTCCACTTTCTGACAAGCAAACAGAGGCAGGGTATATCAGGGTCCCACAGCTTTAACAAAAGGCCCTGCCTTAGACTGGCCCTTTCATTGCATCCAGGCTGGGCCTCTCTGTGGGGTTCCCTCCCACACTGTTCAGACAGCACGGACAATGCCTGTCCTGTCCTTGTGCACAGCAGGAACATCCTCCAACTTCCCAGGCTCTGAGTGGCCTTTATCTTAGAGACCCAGAGAAGCCCCAGCACAACGGGGGGTGGGGGTGGGGTGGGGTGTATGTTGGGGGCAGTGAAGCCCCAGCACAATGGGGTGTGTGTGTGTATGTGTGTGTGTCAGGGCAGTGAAGCCCCAGGACAGCGATGTGGGGGGAGGCAGTGAGGGTCATAGCTTTGATTCATGAACGGGAGACACCAGTCCAGCTGTCCTCTTCTGATGGTCTGCCTCGGGGATGAGATGAGCCTATGCATGGGTGGAAGGGTAGTCCTTAAAGCACTGTGGAGAATAGCAAGACAGTGGAGAAAGTCTCAGAGTCATTAGAGCAGAACTGCAGTGGAGCTTCACAGTGGTTCAGGGAACACTACACTCATGTGGTAGTAGGACAGCTTCAGAGCATGTCTAGTACCATGTTCATTCAGAAGATGTAAACATGCCAGATGCCCAACGAGAAGTATTTCCCATCTCTGTGGGTAGTAGAGGTATCAGGCATGTGTGGGTTCTGGAAGAAATCCTCACTGGGTATGACCAGGCAGCTTTTATGGTAAGCATATGGCAATGGAAGTTCTTGTAAGAGCAAGGGCCACCTGGCCAGGTTGACTACCTCCTGTTCCCATTTGGGTTTGCTAAGGCCCTTGATCCCTAAAAAATAAGTGGCTACAGATAACTGGCCATCAAGTGAGTAACAGGAGTCATGCCGCTGCCCTGCTGCCCTCAGGTACAGCCCTAAGAGTACTTCTCTGCAGTCTGAGACCATCCACTACAAGAGGGGTGTGAGCCAGCAATTCTCCTTGCCTTCCTTCAAGATTGACTTCTCCGAATGGAAGGATGACGAGGTAATTCCATTCTCTTGTTCCTTCCCCTGTTCTCTGTCTTCTGGATGGTACATTACACTGAGGTCTGTGGAGATCCCCTGGTGCTGTTGGCATTGGGAATGGCCAGATCTGTGTCTCGGGTCAGATATACAGAGGGACTGAGAAGTAGGTTGTGGGTAAGGCTTGGCAGCCACAAGGATCATGCAGTCATGGAGACTGTGGTGCTGGGCTCTGAACAGATGAAGGTCCCTCACTGTGAGGGACCCCAGACAGCAGTATGGCAGTTTAGTGAACACTGAGTGCCAGCCTTCCTCCCTTTTGCCTTTGTTTCTGAATCATACTGTGCACAGCTCTCATGACACTGGACAGCCTTCTGTATAGGCCTCTTGTGGGTCTCAGCTTGAGTGACCTTTCTGCTTGTTTTTCTTACCTTCTTTCCCTCCGCCCTTTGTGTCCACTTAGTTCTATCAGTGCTTTCTCCTTCCTTCCTTGGTCTTATTTCCAAGTGTCCATCTGCAGAGACCCTTGTTTGGTAGCCCCTGTGTGATGACAGACACAAGGTTCCTATCCACTACCCAAACCTGAGAACATGGGTATGACTCATGCTGGTGGCAACTGCCTGTGTTCCTTCCTGTCCCAGCAGCCTCTTTCCTATGACGGCCTCTCTTGTCCTCCATTAAAAATAAAACAAGCAGCTGTCTCAGACTCCCTCTGGTGGTAGAAGCCTGTCTTCTTCCACCTTCACTCACTTGGTCCCAGGTTTCTCTTCTATGTGTCCTGTGGGCGATGCATCACTGTGTGTAAAACTTGGGCATGGGAGTTTCGGGGGGGCAGTGCAATGGCAACAGTCTGGTTGTGAGGATGTTGTGATGCATGAGAAGTGCTCTGGAAGCCCTGGACTGCCAAAGGGAGCGGGAAGGGCAGAACCAAAATCATAGCATGCCCCTCCTCAGATTGTAGGTTTCTCTGCTAACCCCTGCCCAGTACAGCTGGCCAATTTCAGGTTACCAAGTGCAGCTGAGACCAGCCTGGAATGCTTGAAAGCTGCTCTGAGCATCAGGGGCTCAAAGACTCAGGTTGGCTGCTCTGTTGGCTTCTGGCCTAGGGTGGACATGAGGTTCTGCTCTTCCTAACCAACTTACCTATTCCTAAACAAACAGTCCGTGTGTGAAAGTGCCCCTTCTAGGACTTAGTTACGTGCCTTGTAAGGGCAGCAGGCTGCTAGCAGTATTGTCAGGAGGGCTACTCTGGGGTGGTTCCTCAACAGTGGTACAGACTCACAAAGGGACCTCCTGTCCCAGCCATCATCCCAGAGCCAGGCAGGAGTTTAGGAAAGGAGGGTCACTCACACTGTAGGGCTTGCCCCCCTCCCTCCACGGTGCAGTGCTATGAAGTACATACCTTTCCACTGAGTCCCTCCCCAGCCTAGTGCTCTGAGTACCCTCCATGCCACCTGCTGCTCCTGCCTCCATTGCCTCCATCCGCCTTCCCAGGGTGTGATGCAACTTCTCCATGACCACAACTTTTACTTGACTCCATAGCCATATTACAAATGGCTGTGAATCATGTGAAGTGTGCTTTTCCAGGCACTGTGCTTGGCACTAGAACTGGCTGCTTTTCCTTTGTAGGTGGGAAACTAAGGCTCAGTTGGGGTTTTCACAGTGAGCAAGTGAGGAGCAGAGCTGAAATCTGGCAGTCCTGAGTGTCGCCCTATGCCTTAATGAAGCTTGCCACTTCTTAGGCCTTCCCCAGCTTTTGTAGATGAATCCTCAGGCACCCTATCCTCTACCCCATGAAGTCTCTGGTACTCATATTTCTGGCTGGTGGCCTCTGTCCATGTGTACATGAGTCTCTGTCTCAAGGTCTGTCCCATGGTATATCTGGCCAGAGCCCAATACCTGACCCATGGCCTTCCCTTGGGAGCAATGGGACAGGTCTGCTCAGACTGGCGTTGCCTGGTTTCTGGTTGGTTCAGCTAATGGCTGCTTCCCAAGGCTTCTCAGGAAAATGGGATAATTGCACTGATTAGTCTACAAATAGGAAGTGCTGCATTAGCCATATGCCAGGTGGAACACGCGTGGCAGCTATGGAGCTGGTGGCCCTGCACTAAGACAGCAATAGTTGGGCCACTTGGTGATGTGGAGTCATCACTGGGTGAGGATCTACTTGGCAGTGACCTGAGCACTTGGTAGCCTTCACTGTGCCTCCATGTGGCCTTCTTGGGCTGTGGTTAAACACTTTTGTTTTTGTGGCTGTTTCTCTTGGTACTTTCTCCTTGTGGTGTTTTGACTCCTTTTCTCATCTGTGTTTGCAGTGGGGAATTCCCTGTATTGACAACTCTTCAAAGCCTTTCCCTCTGTCCTAAGTAACATCTGATGTTGGGTCTCGTGGGAGAACTTGGTGCCCTTCACTGTAGAAGTTAGTATGGTGGTTCTAGTAATAATCTCATTGCAAAGCAGGATACCAAGGCTTAGGGAGCTAGAAGGACTGAAAATGGCCCTGGGCTGCTGGATGGGGACAGCTGCCCAAGCTCACATGAGGGGAAGATGGTGAAGGGAGACCGGCCTGTCTATCCTATGTTTCAGCCTGACCTTGGGGAAGAATGGAGCCCTGGGTTTTGCTAAGGTGTATCTCTGGCTGGCCAGACTCTGTTCACAGGGTGTGCTTAGCCACTGGCTCAGGATTTTAGGACACCAGACCAGGAGAGCTCCTCTGCAGAGGTCCTGGCTAATGTCTACTTCTGAGGCAGAGGCCACTGTCCCTGGCCCTTCTCTTGTTACTTCAACTGTTCTGGTTGGATTAGTTTTTGATATATTTTGATATTCACATGCCACACAGCTTACTCATTCTAAGGGTTCAGTGGTTTCTAGTATGTTCACAATGAACCTTTGTTTGTTTATTTTGAGACAGGGCCTCACTATAGCCCAGGCAGCCTTCAGACTCACCACTTTTCTGCCTCAGCCTCCAGAGTAGCTGGGATCAGAGGTATGCACTAGCATGCCTTGCCCATTGTCCATTCTTTCAGTAACTTCTTAGCGAGACTGAATAAGTGGAAATATCTGTGATATCTCTGAGACCAGAGGGTTATAGAAACTGGGTAACTGGGCTCTGTCCTCTATAGCTTCCATCCAGCAGGGAGTCAGAAACTGAGGATGGCCTGGTGACAGGGAGAAGACAGGAGCCAAGAATATTTACAGGTTGTTTTCTGCAGGTGTGGATGAGGGGAAGCCTTCCCTAGGGCCCAGAGTAGTGCTGTGCCAGCAGGTGCAGGGTAAGGGCCGGGTGTTCTAGTGAACAGGTCTCTGTGAGGAATGGGGGGCCTGTTCCTGACAAGGTTGCTGCGATGGGGGTGGGTAAGCATGGTACCAGGTCAAGGCTGGGCCAACTGCTCAGGACCTCTTGTGCCATGGAGGAGGCAGCTTCTAGCTCGAGAATGGAGAGGTTTCTCCTGAAACTTAGATGAGCCATGTGGTCTCCTTCACCCCTCTTTATTCTCTATCTTTGGTGAGGCTCAAGCCATGTGCTTTTTTTCCCCAAACAGTTAAATAAGTGTAATTTGACCCAGGAGAATGAACAGCAGCTGCTCAACAGGTATTTGTACCTCAGTGATCATAAAGCACTGTTTACAATGGTCACAGTGTAGAAATGGCCTGTGTATCACCAACCGGTGAATGGACAAACAGAATGTGTTCTTTACATTCCCCCCACCCCCAATGCTATGCAGACATAAAATGGAATGGAATTCTGATTGAATTTTGAGAACATACTCAGTGAAAGAAATTAGGTACAAAAAGATACAGGAAATGTCCAGAACAGGCACATCCACAAAGATGGGAGGCAATGTGTGGTTGTCAAGGACTTACCACATGCAACTGCAGTTTCTGTTTGGGGAGAAGGTCTGGAAATATACAGTGGAAGTGGCTGAGCAGCACCTAATGTTTTGATGCCATTTGGTTCCCTCATCCTCAGTTCTGCTTGGCATCGTCATACCAACTGGCTTTCTCCCTCTAGCTCAGCCTGACTAACTTGCTGCCTGGTGGCCATGGGCCTGACCATTCTCGCTTCCTTTCCCCCTCAGCTGAACTTTGACCTGGACCGGGGCATGTTTCCAGTGGTCATCCAGGCTGTGGTGGATGAAGGAGATGGTAAACATTGTTGGCTTTTCCTTGTCCTTCTTCTCCAGTATGTGGGCCCTGTGGGGAGGAAGCTGCTTTGTCCTCCCTGAGTTAGTGGGGAGGCTCTTCTGGAAGTGGAGGGTATCATTACAACCCACATGCAGGCTCAAGATGGTGGCATTGCTATGTAGGCAGCTTAGAGGAGAGGATTACTTTGGCAGTTGCCGTGGGAGACACAAGAGGAGGGTGGGGTAAGGACAAGGATAGGACCACCTGGGAACCACACCTTCAGGGGAAGGGTGAGAGCTCCAACCATGATAGCTAACTTTGGCCTCTTGTCTTTCCCTACTTCAGTTCTGGAAGTAACTGGTCATGCTCATGTGCTCTTGGCTGCCTTTGAAAAGGTAAGTGCCACCCTAGCCACTGTCCTGTAATGTGGGAGCTGGAACAGGATATGGCCTGAGTGTGAGGGTGGGGGCTTGGTGCAGGGACTGAGCTGCAGAATCTCACCCAATCTTTGGTTTCCAAGAGACTGGTCCTGAGACCAAGCATCCTCATGGGGGTTATTTAAAGAACTTTTAGGGGCTGGAGAGATAGCTCAGTGGTTAAGAGTACTTGCTTCTCTTGCAAAGGACTTGAGTTTGATTCCCAGCACCCATGACAGGTGGCTCACAACTGCCTGAACTCCAGTTCCAGGCAGTCCAGTGTCCTCTTCTGGTTTCTGTGGGTATAGCATGTGCATGACACACAGAGACACATACATAATTTAAAAATAAAATCTTTTTTTTTTTTTCAAAGGCATTTACACCCAGCCCTTGCGAGGTAGAGGCAGATGGATCTCTGAGAGATTGAGGCCAACCTGGTATATGTAGTGAATTCCAGGCCAGCTGGGGCTACAGGGAGACCCTGTCTCAAAAAGCCCCCCCCCCAAAAAAAGGAGCATTTAGAGTAGAGCATTTAGCGTAGCAAGTCAGAACATTTGACTGAGACCAGCCCTATAGAACTGTCTAGAATTCACCAGCACAGCCAGGATGCCCACATGCCAGCCCCTTCTACAAACTAACTTTCCTCTTCCAGCTACAACCCTTTCCTACCAGGCCTAGTGTCCTCAGGTGCCACCAAATACTGGCCACAGCCCGACTGAGAATGTTGTCTGCCTCACTTGTGATTTGCCCTTTTCTCCGCCTTCCTCTGGCTGTAGCCTGCAGTCCAGGCAGAACTAGGCAGGTCTCACTCCCTGCAGGAGGCTGTTCCTGACCCCCTTGAATTACCAGTGTCCTTACTTGTGTTTGTGAGGGCAAAAGTGGCCTTTCACTTGTTTTCCTTAGAGCTGCCATGACACCCAGTGAGTACAGAATAGACACTTAGTGAGTAATGGTGGCGTGCATGAGGGTCTGATGCTTGTTAGTGTGGCCCCAGACCTATGTGTGTCCCCGCTTACTGAGAAACTTGACAGAGGTTGGTATATTATCCCTGCTTGATAATGCCCCAGAGACCCCATCCTCCCCCAGGCCCTTTGCCAGTCTTTAGTACTGCAGCTGAGACACAGCACCAGGCTGGAACCCAGGTGAACAGGTGACAAAGACCCCACTAAGAATGGACTGAGATTACTTAGGGAGTCTCCGATTTCATGTCCTATTGACTCATCTCGTGGCCTACTAACTTGAGGTCCCTCGCCAAGGCATGTTTTTGGTGCACATCTGGCTGGGTCTCTAAGGTGCCTCGGGATCTGCACAGCCAGTAGGGCCTGCTCAGAGTGGCAGGCCTATGGTGAGCTTAGGGTGCCTTCCTGGGGCAGGAGTGACATAAGTTGCTGAACAGGACCCATCCCTTGAGTACCCCATGCTTAGCCTTATTAGTAAGAGGTGCTAACAGTGGGCTCTGATAAGGAAGATACGCCATCCCTGGCAAGTATACCATCCCATGCTTGCAATTTAGAGCCAATGGGAAACTGCTTGTTTTGGGCCTTATCAGACAGTCTTGAGTACTGGTCTTGGTTGACTCAAAGTATAATTATTGTTGTTACAAGACTTTCTGCTCTAATACCTTAATTAACCTTACCAACTAAGAGAAGTGACTGAACACATATGATACATTTTTTCCCATTTTGTTCTTACATTTTTAGCTCTCTGTGTGCGTGTGCCATCTTCCTAAGCCAGGCCCTTGAGAACAAGAATTTCTGTTTGTTCACGTTTGCCACTTGAGTATGGGAAGCTATCTGGCCATCATGAGAAACACGGCTGAGTGGCTTAATCGAGTGCTGGGAACCATTTGGTGTAGTTGGGTTCTGCAGGGCAGGCAGGGCCCAAACAGATGTTTCAAGAAGATTCTCCAAGTAGTTCAGAAGACAATATTGAGCCCATAGGTGAAGAAGTCATGGCCTGGCTCCTTGTCTTCACTTTCTTCCTTTTTTCAGCCCTAAATGTGGGTTGGCCAGGAAAGGCCTTCAGCTGGCTGGGCAAAAGTGCTGGGAGGGGCCACCTTGAAATTAACAATGTCTTTCCCCTGCAGCACGTGGATGGCAGCTTCTCTGTGAAGCCCTTAAAACAGAAACAGATCGTAAGTGTCAGATAGAACATCACAGCCCCTTGGGTTCAATATCTCTCTCTCTCTCTCTCTCTCTCTCTCTCTCTCTCTCTCTC